ATGAAGTACTACACCAAGGAACTCCAAGAAAGACCCATGCTTGACCTAGAAGAGGACGCGTTCTCCAGGCAAACAACAGATACAGAGTGAGAATAACACTGCAAACCCATGCCTACAGCTCAGCTGCACAGTCCAGACCCAGGATGGACAGGGGTCATTCTGGAACGGGACCTCGTTTTGATATGCTACCATTATGACTTGTGTCTAGTCAGTCACATCATCTGTCACCAAAGAAAATGCTGACTGGGTCATTTTTGTAACTAGTGGGGGCAGTGAGACATTCCATAAATATCTGACCTCAGCTCCACAAGCACCCACAGTGGGCCCTCTGAATATTTGTTGACTGATGCCATAAACAATGCTACTGGATTTCTTCTTGGAGAGATGAAAAATTCCAAAGTCAGCACCAAGGAGAAAATCAAGTATGGTCAATACCATCTTTGAAAATCCTTTAAATCGTCCTTAAAACTCCATGACCTGGACCTTTAGAAGATCACATGCAAGAATGAACTTTTGATTTTTCTTTACATGCCAGCCAGCTCTGGCCTTTTTTTTCCCTCCTTGGAGTAGTCAGTGAAGGTCAAGGTCAAAGGTTTTTTTTGTTTGTTTTTGAGACAAAGTCTTACTCTGTTTCCCAACCTGGAGTGCAGTGGCACAATCTGGGCTCAGTGCAACCTCCACTTCCTGGGTTCGAGCAATTCTCCTGTCTCAGCCACCCAAGTAGCTGGGATTACAGGTGCACGCCACGATGCCTGGCCAAGTTTTTTATCTTTAGTAGAGACAGGGTTTCACCACGTTGGCCAGGCTGGTCTCGAACACCTGGCTCAAGTGATCCTGTCACCTCAGCCTCCCAAAGTTCTGGGATTACAGGCGTGAGCCACCACGCCCAGCCTCAAGGTCAAATTTGATGTGACTTATATTAGTGTGGGTCAGTGATTGTATTAGTGTGCCGCCTCTCCCATGCTGCTCCAGCCATACCCTACTCCTTACAGCTCCTGGACCCCACCAGGCTTTCTCTCTCCTTTTTCTGATCACAGTTGAGTTTTTAAATGATTCTGCAGTGCAATAAAATAACCATTAATAGGGAGATGGCTACAACGTCATGGGAAGGCTGAAGACTAATTATTCTGGGGCCAAGGAGAAAGAAAAGCATTTGGCTAAGAAATCATTTACAACACGTAAAGCTATGGCACCATTCTTAGGCCGGAAATGCCACAGAGCATAGTTGAAGGTTACAACACACATGCATCCCACAGCCAAAATAAGACAATCTTGAGATGCTCCTAGAAGGGCAGAGTCTAGACGGGCCCAGGTTAGCACCCTCTGCAGCCATTTAGAAGAGACACCCATTCATTCCACACCTCTATCCAAAGTCAAATTGGAAGCTAGAGGTCAGTGAGGCATCTCAGGAGGTCTCCATGGCAACAGTTCCAACACAGAAGAACCCAGAGGGTTTTGGACAATCACACTGCAGACCAGAAGAAAACAGAGATGCTGGCATGGAAGGAAAGCTCCCCTCCCACCCTCGCGTCAGCGGTCTGGAGGAGGGGCAGGAAGGTGGGTGGGGTGACAGTGCCATTGGGGTGGACACCCAGGCCCTGTGATGTGTGCCCACATTTACCACTGCTCTCTTCCTTCCCCTGCCTGGTATTAATCACCGTCACCTCTTACTGGGTCACGCCTCTCTACACATCTTTTTTTCTGCCCTCACCCCAGCTGTTCATACACAGCACCCAGAGAGCACCATCTCAGAGTCAGGCCATGCCTCTCCTCTGCTCCAGACCCTCCAAGACTCCCTTCTCAAAGTCAAGGTCCTTACAGTGGTGATGGGGCTGCTGCAATCCGGCTTGAGTGGCCTCTCTGCCCCCCACCCCCGCCGCCTCTCCCATGCTGCTCCAGCCACACCTTCTTCCCTGCAGCTCCTGGATCCCACCAGGCATGCTCCCACCTCACGACCTTTGCATTGGCCGTTCCCACAGCTAGGAATGCTTATCCCCCAGATAAGGACACAGCCAACTCCCTCACCTCCTTCCTGTCTGAGATCAAATCTCACACTTCGGTGCAGCCACCCTGCCCACTGCCTGTCCTAGACCCTTTACCCAGCTGCTCTACTTTGTCCACAGCACACACTAGCCTCCCAATTCTGTATCAGTTACTCATTTACATTTATCTTCTATCTCCCTCTGCTCACAGGTAAGCACAGTGGGAACTCAGCAACAGTTGTTGACTGAATGGTGGTTTCCACTTGGGATAACTACAAAATAATTACAGAGACAAATTTGCCTGAGAAGGAAGTGGGAGAAATGACAAAGTCTGTAATAGTCCATTTGACCCACTGGTTTTCAAACTGCCCCCCACAGCCCCAGAGGGATGGACAAGATGAGACACAGGGGGGAACCCTCAATACCCCACCTTCAAATTATAATAGCACATGATTCAGCAATACCACTTCTGGGTATATATGCAAAACAATTGAAAGTTGGGTCTCCAAAAGATATTTGTACACCCATGTTTACAGAATTATTCACAATAGCCAAGAGTTGGAAGCAACCCAAATGCCCATCTACAGACGAATAGATCAACAAAATATGATCCATACATACAGTGGAACATTATTCAGTCTTCAAAAAGGAAGGAAACAGGCTGGGCGCGGTGGCTCAACTCTGTAATCCCAGCACTTTGGGAGGCCGAGACGGGCGGATCACAAGGTCAGGAGATGGAGACCATCCTGGCTAACATGGTGAACCCCCATCTCTACTAAAAAATACAAAAAACCAGCCGGGCGTGGTGGTGGGTGCCTGTAGTCCCAGCTACTTGGGAGGCTGAGGCAGGAGAATGGCGTGAACCTGGGAGGCGGAGCTTGCAGTGAGCAGAAATCGCACCACTGCACTCCAGCCTGGGCAACAGAGCGAGACTTCATCTCAAAAAAAAAAAAAAAAAGGAAGGAAATTCTGACACATATTACAACATGAATAATGAATGTATCCTGAGAAGTTATGACATAAGCCAGTCACAAAAAGATAAATGCTGTACAATTCCACTTCTGTGAGGTATGAGGAGTAGTCAAATTCATAGAGAGAGAAAGTAAAATGAATGGTGGTTGCCAGGGGCTGCGGGGAGCAGGAACAGGGGAGGGAGGTGGTTGTTTAATGGGTGTGGAGTTTCAGATCTGCCAGTTGGAAAGTTCTAGAGATTTGTTGCACAACGAAGTGAATATACTTTACATTACTGAATCACACACTTAAAATGTATGCCCTTTTCCAAAAGCACAGTTTAATAATAAAATCAGC